AGCGATCGATGCATTACGGAATAGAGGCACCTCGTTGTGGTGTAATGGTTAGCAAGCTTGTCTCGCTAGAACAATTACATCTGAGTAGTGAGTTCGATCCTCACTAGGTGCCCCATACTTTCGGCCTTGTGCCGCATCTGAGCTACGCTTGGAAAATTGCATTACGGAATAGAGCTGCATGGTTATTTGAGCAACGCTTACTACTAAAGGTTTATGCGGCAAAAAACGACAACGGCACTGATAAAAGAAATTCCGACATTTGAAAATTGCAGATTAAAAAAAAAACCAGCAAAAATAAGTTTAAAAAGTTTCAAATCCGGCTCTTGGCTTTGGATGGATTTTTCTTTTCAATCATTTTACCCCATGCATGACAATAAACCTCTAAGACACAAGGGGTTACTGGGTTTGAAAGAATAAGAAAAAAGAAACATTATGAAGGCGCGAGAACAATAAAAGAGTAACAAAAAAAGACAGTAGATGACGATTGACATTGCATTAAATTTTTGAAACTCAAAGTTCGCTGAAGGGAGTTCCAGAGACGAGATAATAAATTGTCAACTTACGATTACATGCAGCCAATTTAAACATGAACTAATTAGATATGGCCGCCAATCTAATATGCGTTTAAATCCATAAAGCGTAGATGCCATAGCGAAGAGTGCATACGAACAATTACCATGAAAGTATTCATAGAAAAGCAGAAGGAATCTACATTACGTTGGTGGGGAAAGTGACTTACGCCTAGAAGCCATTTTGGACCAATAATATTACTGATTCTTCTTTGGGTTTTATTAAAAATCTTTAAATATACAGCAGAAGCGTCTGGCCATATGTTTCAACAATATTCAAAATATGGAAGAATAGCAGACTTATAAATATGTAAGATAGATTCTGGAAAAAACAAAATTCTTAGCAGCAGACCTAGCAATGGATTCAATAGAATCTTTCCACTTTATGACAACATTACGCAGTCATTTCAATGTTCATGACTGACCACAGCTTGTTTTAGTTGCTGTGACGATTAATAAAAACACAAGATTAAAATCGCTAATATTTAGTAATAGTTTAAAAGCTGCACTCTGTGCACTCTTTTAAGCTAGTTCCTGTCCTGAATTTAAGCTAGTTCCTGTCCTGAATTCTGGAAGATAGGTGAGCCTATCTACTCCTACTAACCTGAACGCAGCACAGAAGCCTGAATGATTTTATCGAGACACCAACTTTGTTGATGACTGATCGCGGCTTATTTTCGTTGTTGCGATGATTATTTAGTAATAGCTTAAAAGCCACACTCATTGTAAAGATGAGACCATTACAATGCTTACACTGAATGATCATTGATCCAATAGATATCTTTGGATGATGTGAATAGTCACTGTCATAGTTGTATTGAAAAGCTACACTCCTTTTTGTATGATTGTGATTCTCACTAACCTGTCTGGCATGTCTTTCATAACGTATTTCCAAAATCCTTTACTCTTTTATGGTTTGCAGCATCTATTTCTCTCCTTGATAAGGACTGACTCCCATCATCTTCAGCCTCTTGATCTTCTCTTCCTTGCTGTATCTGCTTCTCTCCTTGATGAGGTTTCATGGCTATCGGCAGCTCTTCCTTGCATCTGCTTTTCTCGATGCTTGAATTTCCTCTGATGTTTCAGATGCTCTTGATCTTATCTGTTTAGCAGAATTTGCATCTCTCCTGGTTTATACTTCTTCTCATCTTTCAAATGCTTTTGATTTTCTATAGTTTGCAGCATCTGCTTGTCTCTAAGGTTGTGCCTCATCTGGTGGTTCTTCTGATCTTCTCTTTCTTTTACTTAGAACTTTGGTCTTTGGAATTTGCCATGGTATCTTGAAGAAATAACTTTGAATTCCCCAATTCCCTACATGGAATTTCAAAACCTCACTTTAACTCTGATTCAAGCGATGTCTAATTCCAACTAAAAGACCGATTTGGGCCGAAATCTGATTTGGGCTGAAATTACAATTCAAACCGAAAATTGAGTTCTTCAAATCACAAACTCTACGGAATTTCAAAAACTTATAAACCTCACACTTTAACTCAGATTTCTTGGCATTTCCTCAAGTTTTGGAGATATTTAAACAGAATTTAAACAATTTTTTTTAATTCAATGTTTTTGTGTTATATTAAACTCGATATAAATTTAAAAAAAAACATTTAAAATCACTAATTTTTATCAGATACTAGCAGTAGAGCCCGGCGTTGCCCGGGGATATAACAGTAAGCGATAGATCAAGTATCGACCATCATAAAGACTGAAAAATAAAATTGACAAAGATTATTGTTTAAGGTTGACGGACACGCATGTCTTAATTAGTTTTTTTTTTTTTTTTTTTTTTTTACGAATTGATCAAACTCAAACAAAAACATTGTTTTCAATCGTTATGAGTCTCCCGATTGAATAGAATAATTTTATAAACAATTGTCTTGTAAATGGAATTTTAAAGCATTCTGAATATAAAAATAAAAAAAAAAAATGTGCAAGACAATAAGAAACACTACATGCCAAAAAAAAAAAAAAAAAAAAAGTGAAGTTTTGTTGAAATCGGTTGAAAAATGTAGGTAGCCTCTCTGTAATCTTTTAGTTTTTACAATTTATGATTTTTACTTATTGAATACAGTAAAAAAAATTGCATATTTTGCTTGTGGTGATTCATAATTAGAATTCTGATTTGAATATATTTTCCACTCGTTGTTTCTAATACAAAAAATATTAACTTTATTTGGGTTTATTAATTATGATCTAACAAATCTTATTCATTTAGTAGCCTTTCTGTAATAATAACCTTTTACAATTTATGATTTTTACTTATTGAATACAGTAAAAAATTGGACACCATGTGTATTTAAAGTAGTTTCCCGTTCCGGTTATTATTTTTAGTTAGGCCTTGTGTATGTTTAGATTTCATTATCTTTCCCTAAAGATAAAGAATTTATCCGATGTTTGTATTCGTACAATCAGTAGAGATCGTTAGATAATTGTTTAAGGTTGACGGACACGCATGTCTTAATTAGTTTTTATTTTTTACGAATTGGTCAAACACAAACTCAAACAAAAACATTGTTTTCAATCGTTATGAGTCTCCCAATTGAATAGAATTTTATTATAAATAATTGTCTTGTAAATGGAATTTTTAAAGCATTCTGAATGTTAAAAATAAAGAAAAAAGTGTGCAAGAGAATAGGAAACACTACCTGCCAAAAAAAAAGTGAAAAATATAGGAAATCCGATGTGAGTTGACCCCCTTCCATTTTCACGATGTCTCTTAATCGTATTTTCAAATTGATTTTGTGCAAAAACAATTATATTTTTCCCATTTTTAGCGCTGTTAGAACCACCACAAGGTAATTTTATATAGTCCTGTGAAGTTTTGTTGAAATCGGTTGAAAAATGTAGGAAATCCGATCCAATATATAAACGTTACAGACACACACACAGACACACTGCGTTTTATAATAAGTAAGATATTAAAATCTGCATTTTTAACTGTTCCCTACTCATCCGGACAAGAAACAAACAATGCTGGATGTTAAAGCACCAGATGAAGGGCTGACTTTTATTCCCTGGATAATCCTGATTCCCAAAACGGTATGATCTCTATCTATAAAAGGCAGGATGTGTGTGTGTGTGTGTGTGTGTGTGTGTGTGTGTGTGTGTGTGTGTGTGTGTGTGTGTAACGAATGCACGGCCGCAATTTTCAACGGATTTGCACCAAAATTTACATGCACATGCTCCAAGTTAGTGAAAAGGCCAAGACTGACTTTGCATTTCCCAAATCCCATCGATGGTGGAAATAATAGATTTTTCCATGCCTCTACGGTAGTTTTCATATAGTTTGCGTCCATTTTCTTCTGGCCAGAGTGAGAGCCTATAGCTGGCTGCCACGAATAGGCAGGAAGATTCTATTGGCTTAGTTCTTTTTTCGTAACAGATTTAATGTTTAGTATAGAGCTTAGAAAAAATTCGTAGTGTGAGATAGGCAAGAAGTAAGGCATGTAGCAACATAAGCACGGCAAAGGGCATTCGTTTAATGGCAAGGAAGGGCAAAAATATTTTAAGTCAAGTTATAACGATTGCTGTATGAGTCGTACAATTTTTGAATCAAGCGCGGGCAACGCCGGTCCATCCTGCTAGTATGCCTATATAAAGCAAATGTGTCCCGAGTTAGATGGGTTTAAGACACACGGACGGAAAGGCAGAATTTTCCGTTTATTTATTTAGATTAAATTTTATTCATTAGTGAATTAGCGACTTTATATTCTTGTCTGCGATCCCTGACAGAGACTATTCTCTCTCTCTCTCTCTCTCTCTCTCTCTCTCTGCCTCTCGAGTCGGTGTTTATGCAACTGCCTGGAAGATGCTCTTTTTTTTTCGAATGCATGGTTGATGTAATAAATAGCGACTCAAAACGAGAAATTAGAGAGCCGAGTTCGAATTCCAATCAGGTCCGTTTTATTCATTTACGCGCAAATCACCTTGGGAAACGTATGGAACTATATTTTCTCCCCAAATCTATTGGTTAAACATTAAAACTAAGCGTCCCTAAGTCGTAGAAAAAATCAATGAATCACACAAATCGCTTCAAATACAGATGCAGTTGAGCCAGTCATATGGGTGATGGGCGGTCAACCCTGAACCTGACTTCTCTGTAGGACACTGACAGGAAAGTCCACACATGCCATTACTAAATTTCCATTGCCTTAGTATTTTTTTAGTATTCGCCTAACCTTAGTGACCCCTGTCAATGTTGTAAATGGTGTAAAAACTTTTAGGGCTAATTCAGATATTTTATGGAAAGCTGATTGCTAAGTAATTCGAAGTATCAAATATGGACGATGATGTTTGCACAACCAGGTGATGTTGACAGCCAATCAAAAGCGCTCTTTTGTCCCCTCCCATCCCCGTTCTACAACCCTTACCCCTACAACCCCTACCCGTTCGGCAACACCTTCAACCAAGCATATGAAAGGCAGCACGCCATCACCGTCCGCTCAACTGAACTAATAAGCATCGGTCAGACACGACATCGTCCTGTTCCCACCGGTGTAGGAAAGCAACCAACCGCTGTGTGCCACGCGTAGGCAAGTCCACCGCGTTATTGTCACGGAAAAGGAGAATAATATGCTTCAGGTCAATCAAGCTTCCTTTCTACTGGACCGACAACCAGTGACAGCCTATAGACTTGAAGGAATGAACTGTGATAAAAATCAATCAAAGAATGGATGAGATGAAACAGTCCTTCTGTTCAACATAATACGGGGTGCGATGAATAAATTGTCGCTATATTATATTTTTCATTTCGCACGTGCTTTTTCTTTGATTTTGACTTTGTGGACTGCCCAGTATAATAGGGTCAGTTGGGCAACGTCTGCGAGAAAAAGAGCACCATGACGCCAACTCACTCAGCCAGAAATTTGGAAACAGCCTGCTTTACTGCTTGAATCGGAAGCGCTAATATGAACATTTCAGCGTGTTTGGGTGTCAATCTGGGGAGTGTAGAGGATTCAGAGT